TCACTTTGGCCGGCTGGGCGGCCTCAATAATTTCCTTGGAGAAGGCGGACGGCTGTTCTCCAAGTCTGAGCAACCGTAGTTGCCAGTCCAATGGTTGGACATTTCTTGCCACCTGCCCTCCAAACAAAGGAGGCTGCAAGAAGTATTGTTGTTGCGGTACGTATGGTACATTTGGTATCGACTGATCTTTATGAGATCCGGACCGACTGGAGGTACCGCTGATAAGTGGTTTATTTGACCACTTATTGTGTAAATTTAAACCCGATTTTGCGATCATTTCCCCTCTTTCTAACCCAATTTTGAATGAAAATGTTTTGTCTCGGCTTTCCCCCCCTCTTGGTTTGTGTTTGTCCATGTTTTGCAGGTCTATGAGCTCAATTAGGCAGGCTTTCGGTGCATGAATCGTGTTTAAGACAAGAGGATTGAAGATTGGAGAGGGCGCTCCAGGGGAGCGGGCGTGCACCTCTCATGAAGCGGGCGCTCCTCGACTCTAGCCACATTCTGCCCAAGTTCAAGTGCTGTTAGGAGCGGGCGTGTACCTCTCATGGAGCGGGCGCTCCTCGACTCTAGCTACATTCTGCCCAAGTTCAGGTGCTGTTAGGAGCGGGCGTGCACCTCACCAGGAGCGGGCGCTACTCCCTTTGAAGATTGAATCTGCCCATGCTGCTGGAACAGGGGAGCGGGCGTGCATCATGTGAGGAGCGGGCGCTCCTCCCTGACACTTTCAAATCTGATCCTTCAATGAAGCATTCTGGAGAGGGCGTGCAGCCGAAAGGAGCGGGCGCTCCCAGCTTAGGAGCGGGCGCTCCTCATTGTGGAGCGGGCGCTCCTTGCTGGGAATCCGTTTTCTTTTGACGGATTTCCCTATGTGTTTCGGGGAGTATAAATACTTCCCCTTTAGCTCATTTAGAGAGGGGGTACAGTAGCCTAGTTTTCAGAAACCTCTCTTAGTTTGAAACATTCCTTAGGATTAATTTAGCTTAGTTTTCATCAAATCAAATCATTGTATTAGTGAAATTCAAGAATTATTCTCAAAGTTTGGCAATTTGTATTCAACATTTGAAGCTTCAATTAGTAATTTCTCCAACCTTCTTCCTTTTAATTTCAAATTTTATTTGGTATTTGCATGTTATTTAAATCTTCTTAGTTCTTGGTAATTTGTTATAGGATGATAGTTATTTCAATTGTTAACCACTTTTCCCCAATTATTGAAGTATTTAGAACCCTAATTCTTGATTGCATGTTGATAAACATGAGTTGTGAGTAGTCTTCTTGCTAGGGGTTGGGTGAAGCTCGACCTTTTGGGTTAACTATGCAAATGTGGGAGAAGCATTGATGTTTGTATTGCAATTAAATTGATTATATGATATTGCTTGTTAGTTCCTCATGATAGGTTTAGCTACCCTTGACTAAGGAGCTTGATAGTATGATATGCCTAATTTGACATGGAAGTGTAAATTGAGTACGTCATTACTTATTGTAATTTGATTATGTATCATCTATTGCTAAACTAATGAGGAATCTAAGTTTAGTAGTGTGAGTTGTTTTCTAATTGCATGAGGTTGTTTTTACATATAGTCCTTTCTATATCTTGTCTATTTTACTCCCCGTTTGCCTATTTGCCTTGGTTGAGTGGATCTCATTCCCTAGTATCTTTAATTCATTGATTTAGAACCATAGTTTGTTTGTCTTCTTGACGAACCCCAATTCACCAATTGACTTCGAGTTAGCTTAAGTGTAAAGATCTTTGGCAATCATATCCCGTTCCTTGTGGACCGAACTCTTACTTGTCATTATGCTTGGTTTGTAAGGTGTTTATTAATAAATGTGTTTGATTGAGTGTGGAATGTACGACCGTTCTAACGCCCATCAACCGCCTGTCTGACTCTCATAATTTGATTGAGTATACCTCATGGAGGTATTATGCAAACTATCTTGAAAATCTGAAGTAGAGGTCGACTCTAACAGTCGGTCACTCTTCTTCTGCTCTAGCATCAACCAAGCATCAGTGTACATTTTCTTCGTCCCATCCGCTTGAACATGACGAATGGGCTTTCTCCTCCCAGTTGACGGGAAGTGAAACTTCGTCCAATCAATAACCGGTGGCCGACTAGCCCCAAGTTATGGGTGAGGGGTTGCCGCACGATCAGTGACTGACTTCATCCTACCAGACTGGGAGGATTTTTTAGCCGACTGTTCCTTTGCAGTAACAGGCGTCCTCTTCTTAATCAACTCTTAGATCTCTCCCTTGAACCCCCTCATGAAAGTTATGAGTTCGTTCCTTGTAATAGGAGCAGATCCTTCAGCCGCCTGTTGTTGCTCAGGCGGTGGGCCGGCTGGATTGCTGGGACCAGCTTGGCAATCTACCCGTTCCCTCCTGTCGGTGGGACGGGTGCGTCGGGCCCTTAGTGTCCCATCTGAGGTTGTGTGTGTTTCAACCTCGACCTCATTTTCAGTATCCTGGTCACTATAGACTTGAGGGTCGTCCATAGGACGCCTCTCGCTCTGATTCGGTACAGACTGTGATTCCATCTCGAAAGTACTCTCCCCACAGACGGCGCCAAAATGTTTCGGGGTTTTTTGATGTCCTGCGGGAGAGTTACAATTTCGGGACTGGTCTCCTGGCGCCTGTACCTGCAAAACAACGGAGACTCCTTGTGGTGGGAGTTTCGCCTCCGACGATCAAGTTAGAACGTGTATGAGGAGTGAATAAGTGCGAAAAAAATAAAGGTTGGGAGATCTGGTTCCTCTAGGGGAGGAGTGATCAATGTGTTTAGGTTCTCTAGGTGAGAGTAATTAATTACTGAATCCCCTTTAATGAGGATTAATGAAGGTATATATATGCCTTGGGGTGCGTGCCAGTCCTAGGTTTAGGTCAACCTAGGGCTGATTGGGCTTCCACAAGACTTTGGGCCTAGGTGGCCGGTTTTCCCACTATGGGGAGGCCACGTGTCGTGGCATAAGAGGTCCAAGGTGGACTAGTCAACACTTGACACGTGGCAGACTCCAATTGGTCCATGTGGCGGACACTTGGCAGAGCCTGAATGGTCCACTTGTCAGATGATGATTGGTAGGGAAAAATCCCCTAATCAATAATGATATCAATTGTATCATTTTTATGTTGTCAATGGCACAATTAGAATGTGAACCTCATTAGTTTTTTTTCACCATTTTGCATGTGAATTCAATCAAACAATATATGTGGGCTCCACATCACTTGTTTCTCTCTCTTGTATGTGATTGAATATTATTTTAGTATTTGCGTGGTATTTGCAAATGCCTCGTAACCCTACAATAATACTTTCTTTTATGATCATGACCTAGTCACCCCCACTCTCTCTCTTAAAGTACATATTTTAAATTTTAACATCATTATTTTTTTCTCTCTCTTGATGTCCGTCCTAAATGAAAATCGGTTATTTCATAAAATGCCACTGAGCAATAGCAAAATTCACCAAATGTCATGAACCTTTTCAAAATTCACTAAATGCCACCGAGTTTTAAAAAAATTCACCGAGTGCCATTAATGACTGACAACCGTTAGTTGACCCCACCACTTGCCACGCGTCACCTTATGATTGGTCAGTTTTTAAAAAAAAAACTGAACCCCAAACCCTAAACCCCAGCCACTAACCCAGCCGCCGGAGGTTCCCGAACCCAGCCACCCACCACCTACGAAATCTCGTGAAACCAAACACCAACAATAATCCACAATCTAAAGCTTGCGGATTTCGCTGGTACGGTTTCGCGTTTTGGTGCTGGTGGATTTCACTGGTACGGTTTCGCGTTTTCGTGGTGGATTTCGCTAATGGTGGAGGTTTCGGGATTTCGCTGGTGGTTTTGCATTGTGGTGCAGGTAAAACGCCATTGAAGCTCCATTGAAACTCACGCATGAAAGCTTGAGGAACATCATTTCTTCACCGAATTTTATCAAACTTGTACCAAAATGTTCACAATTCAACATACAATTAATTATAGCAAACAATTTTGTGAATTGCTTCACCAAACAAAAAATTCCAATTCAATTTTTTTAGGGTTCTTCACAAAAATTGGTGGTGATTGGAGTTGCTGTTGGTCGGCTTTTGAGATGCTGGGGTTCGTGTTGGCAGGTGCTGGTGGGAGTTGGTGTGGTAAGTTCGCTGCGACGGTTGTGAACTAACGGAGAGGGAGAGGAAGGGGGGTGGGGTTTCGGGGTGGTGGAGGAAGGGGGGTGGGGTTTCGCGGGTTAGGGGAATGCGACGGGATAGGGGAGGGGTCGCCGGCGGCCGGCGCGCCTTCCGGTGCTAGCCCCGGCGGCAGGGGGTGGTGGTGGCTAGGGTTTTGGGGTGGGCAGGGGGCTCGACGACAGGGAGGAGGTGGTGGCTGGCCACCTCTGAGTTCTTTTTTTTTTTGTTGTGTTTTTTTTTTTAATTTTTTGTTATGTTTTTTAATTTTTTTTTTATTTTAAAAAACGGACCAATCAGAAGGTGACACGTGGCAAGTGGTGGGGTCAACTAACGACTATTAGTCATTAATGGCACTCGATGAATTTTTTTAAAACTCGGTGGCATTTAGTGAATTTTGAAAAGGTTCATGGCATTTGGTAAATTTTGCAATTGCTCAGTGGCATTTCATGAAATAACCGAAATGAAAATGCTCTTATAAGAACACATTTGTGGAAACCTCCATTGTAAATATAGCACAAGTAAAGGATAATAAGTTGTTATATTGAAGCTAAACACAGCCCGCACACGTTGCGAAAAATTGGATCATTTATCCATCCTACCATCCTAGCAAGCCAGATTACAGGCAATCTTCAATAATTTTGATTAATGTTATCTCCTTGGTGCCTTGGTGGTGGTGGTGATTGTTACCTATTTCTTTTTTTAGGGTGTTTTCAAGGCAAACCATATCTTTGTTATCTTATAGACATAAATTTTATCATAAGATTGGTTCAATGTACATCTTCAAACTTTTCAAATTTTGCATATATTTATTAGATACATTATGAAAGATTTTAGTAATAGTTAAAAGAGTCATACACCATGCAAAGTCACATATTGCACTTAATTTCTGATCAAGTATTTGTCAATCTTTGCTTAAGCTAATAAATGGAATGATGATATCTTTATATCCAAATCCTTCCTAAGAAAAATAAAAATAAAATAAAATAGCAAAGCGATGAATCTATTTTTATCAACTAACAAATGCCTTCACTGATATACTACAGGCCTTGAGTTTTACAACCTACATGTCTTAACTGATAAACTATAGACCTGAACTTAAACAACAGCACTCAATCTGGCCTACACTGATAATTGCACATTAGTTTCCTTCACCTCCAGCATACAATACCAGCTCACAGATCAAAAATGAAACCGAGCCAAGACTAAGCATATATCACTGCTCGATGCAAACACAGTCAAAAGACTCAAACTCCATGGACAGGGTTGGAGGCCACAAAATGGTTCAGAATTTTCTTCTGTCAGGCTGTAGCCTGGAAGCTCCTCGTTTGTTGCCATTAATTAAGCAGATTTTTTTTACCGGAGAAATGGCTTTTCATCCTCAAATGGCAGCTCAATGGACTTGGCGTTGCCGTAGAATTCTTCTAAATTGTAGAATTCCCTCTGTGGGGGAAGAAATATATGGACGACAACATCTCCTGTATCACAGACGAGCAAAAGTTATTTGGTGCCATTTAATTTTACATGTAATGATACTTTCAAGTCTTCAAGAGATATCCCCTTAGAATTTTAGCGACTGATAAGTCACGAGTTAACGATAATCCTTCATCTACTGAGTACAAAAGAGCAATCATATTGAAATACAACGGTAAAGCTTACAAAAAAAGTATCATCCAAACTTAACTGCCAGGCACTCCATCTAAAACTTGTCAATCTTTGGCAAGGAAAAGCTAAGGGGAAAGGGGTAATTTACCACCAGAACCGGCAATGACTGCAGGACCTATGTAGAGGTCCAAATTCAATTTCGTACCTCCTTGGGATGGAAGAAAACATGTGGAGAGACCCACATTGCCAATTCAGGGAAGTTCAGGGGTACTCGGATGCAAGAATTGTTATCACTCAACAAAATCTCAATGTCACAAAGACAGGAGAAAACTCATACTCCTTCCGTTCCTTCAACAATAGGCTACATTAGATGAGGGATCTCTGTTCAAAAACTGTGGTTATATGCATCCTTTTTTATGTAACATATACATTTCTGCCATGCGCCCATGTCACCAGGTTGTCTTTGTTATTAGAAATAACACAGGAAATTGAAGCTTTTCATAATAAATTCAGAGACTGACGTACTTTCCCTGTTTCATAAGAACTGCAAATCTTAACCAATTGCTTTTTAAAAAATATATAGAATGTAAAATTTTATTATTTAAAATGTTGTTAGTAGTGGCCCACGTGAAAGTCAAGTGTAGCGAATTTTATAAAACAGAGGAAGTATTATTTCCGGACAAATTAAAATAGAAAAGTCGGTCGACCTTTGAGGTTCTATTGCAATATGATATGCTATGCTTCTTCCCTAAAAAGGCAAGTAGTCTAGTTATCTCAGGAAGAACATGATTTCCCAGGAAATAGTAAACATCGAGTTATCCTCTTCTAATTTAATTCTTTCTCAATTCACTTACCACTCTACATACCTAAGAAATTCTTTTCAAAGATAATGCTTTTAGCATAAACTTAATGAAAAACCCTGAGGTGACTTTGTGAAGAAGTATTACTGTTACATTTAGTTTTTGCATGCTCATATAAAAATTAAATCAAAGGGGTTTCTCACGCTAATAACAGTAAAATAAAGAGAAAGATTGGTTCTTTGATATAAGTTGACAAACTGATTTTTGTTGAATTTAGAAAGATGGAAGCTTGACTAATGCTTGAAAATGGCAAAAGATTTACAAAGGATAGGTTTAACAGCTTGAAGCTATCACTCTCTAACAATGGCTTGAGGCCATAACTCTCTCTAGGTTTCCCTAATACAATTTCTGCCTACCATTTTCTTTCCCCTCCTCTATTTATACTAAGGACTATTAACCTAGTAAACTAATATTTCTAGAATACCTATACTACCCCTCCTTAGGTTAGTCTATAACAGGTTTTCATTCAGTCAATGAACACTATAATTTATTTTGGGTATCAGATTCAAATTGTACTCCTCAACTGCAGCTTATACATACTCCGTTTAAGCGTGAAAGTCATCAGGTTAATCTCTTACTTGATCTTGGAACCAATACACTCTAAAGCGTTGTTCTCTTCACCTTATTTAAGTAATATTCGGTAAAATTAATGTTTACTTCACCTTATTCAAATAACATTCGTAAACATAATTTAAGTTCATTTTTTTTGTGAAAGAATGACTCTCTCTTGTATGGAAAGAGGGGATGATATGTGGCCTAGTATACTTTCTCGTTAACTTCATTAAAATAATTTAAGTTTAGCAATATTAAGTTTAGTTTAGCATAAATAATTTCAATTCAGTAAAAAGAAGTTCAGTCCGTTAAAATAAGTAACTTTAAAGAACAAATATAATAGTGAATCAATAATAATAAGTTAACTTAAGTGAAAAAGTGATTCAGGTTCAGGAAAACTAACTTAATTTCAATAAAAAATTCATGTTTGGCAAAAATAATTTGATTTCAGTAAAAATAGTTAAGTAAGGTAAAAAAAAAAAATTCAGTTAATAAAAATCATGTGAAGAGAACAGGGCCTAAGAGTCCTTATACTAAGATTTAAAGTTGACAAGTAAATTGTGATGTGATACAAGCCAGGCGGAAGAAAGTAAACAACATGATCTCAAAACTCCCATTCAACATTCATATATTGATAACATATGCACAAAAAGCACAGAATTTAGTGATAATCAATACGTGCCATAAGGCAAGTCATCAAGATATCAAGTCCAATTCAAGGTGTGCATATGCATTCTACGGCTCACGGCTCATTAATTGGACTGGATAGCTTCTCAGACAAAACTCCATGATAAGATGGTTGCAGCAAATTTAACAGCGGTACACTAGATCCAAACAAAAAAAAAAAAAAAAATTCAAAATCTTACCAAAATCCAATAGTGTCCAAGAGTTTGGTTTTAAGTCACCATTCGGAATTTTCCCAAACTTCTCTTCAGCGAGATCTGCCATTTTTGTCCTGTAACAAAAAGGTAATAGGCATCATATTTCCTAGACAGTGAACAATTGAATCTATTTTAAAACAAAGGAAATTGTTGAGCCTCACTGAAATTTAAATAGCAGAAATTGCACAGTATAGAGCCATGTGCATACCTAATTGCATCGATTTGAGGACGAGAAAATGCCGTTGCAATTATGAAAAACCGAGTCCAGTATACAAGAGGTTTTACAAATAAAACTTTTATATCCGCAGCCTTTACCTCATTTGCAACCTTGGCCATCGCCACAGCAACTGCACTGATTCACAAGTGTAAATTTGCAGTAATTTCATGCCAGTCATATGATGCAATTTTGTTACAAGAATAACTTGCCAAGAAACCAACAGTAATTCAGAGCATAATTAGGTATGCAGGTTAAAGATGAAAGCAACTAATCTGCTGAATGATACAACAGCTAGATATTCAGCAAAGACGCCAGGAAACACAGAACACACCAAATACGTTTTATAAAATGCAAAACGAGATCAGATTTCAACAGCATATTAGAGGGTCATGTGATGGACTGATCAAATTTGAGAAATGTTCGATAACAGAGGGATGATCAGAAGTTCAACATGTAGGGAGAAAAGGGAAATGCAATCACATTTTACATCTCACAAGGATATGCCAAAGAAGACCCAAAGAACATGAGCATAAAGAGAAGTTAGAAACAAGAACCTTGTCCAGATGCCTTTAATAATTCCTACTATTTTAAATCTATATCATCCACATGATCAACAACAAAGCTGTCCGCCACTTCTCGACCTTTAATTTGTATGTTTGATGCATGAACTATTTTACCACGATGAGAGTTTACAAATCAATGAGCTTATCTTACACTTGCACAAGATGCATTATCCCCTACAGCAAAAAAAGGTAAAACTTAAACATACACTTGCACAAACACTGACAAATTAGTTTCCCGGAAATTGAATCTATAAAACAAATTTTAAGAAGGTTGGCATCCATGAAGAAATAGATATATTAAGGTTGTTTCAGGAGTTATAATACACAAAACAAGTGTGCAATATCCTATACACTTTATAGTTAGAAAGGCTACGAACATAATCTGCAAAAAAAAAAAAAAAACCAAATATAGTAAAGACTCAGATTGTACTGCCTTTTTGAGAGCTTAAAATGAGACTGTTCTAGGGGAGTCAATTCCTTAATATAGATTTATGGCACTTACTAATTTAGATATCCATTATAAGATTCATCCATCCTGGAATGTCAAAGTATAGGTACAGTCATATAACAAAATTGGTAAGATTGGTAAGATTATGGTAAAATTGGTAAGATTATGGTAAACTAAGGGAAACTCGGCTACGTTGGTTCAGGCATATAAGACGGAGACCCAGGGAGCACCGGTACGAAGAGTGGAAGAGTGGGATCATGGAGAGGTTAAACGAGGTAGAGGGAGACTGAAAATGACTTGGTTGGAAGGAGTTAGGAAGGATATGAAGCATATGGATTTGCATGAGAATGAGTTTTTGATAGTAAGGGTGGAGGAGAAAGATTTTTGTGGATGACTATACGGAATAATCACTTTTGGTTCATGTAGCTGACCCCACTCATTATGGGATTAAGGCTTTGATTGATTGATTGAAGGAGCTTTTCCTATAAGCATCAGAGCGGCAGTTGAGGTAACAGTGTAACACTACCACTGAGATCTAAGCAATAAAGCATAGCTTCCTATTTATATAAAAACAGTCATCGTAGATGACTAGATGATTAATAGACACATGCAAGATGCCTAGCACTAATATCTAGCAATCATGGATTGTACTTACATGTTAAACTCTCAGCATCATCATCAATTTCTGCACCAGATGTCTTCTGGTCTTTACTTCTAAATACCACTTTTCCATGCTTTTCGAAAAGATCATCAAACATATCATCAGTGTCTTCATTTATATCCTGCAAAGTTAAATCCCATTTATTATGCTCAAAAGCATCTCTCATTATATGAACAAAATTAGCAGTATATCAAGCACTAGTGCCAACTCAAATCAAGAAATAAAAAATAAAAAAAAGAAAAAACAACAACAACAACAACAACAACAAAATTCGAGCAACCTATTTCCAAGCCTCAAAATTATCCATTAGACAATAACAAATAGGGAATCCTTTAGGCAACAAAGTTTGAACCCACGCAATGTAAGATACAGAACCTTTGTTATTTCCCTTTTATGAAAAAATTACAAGATTTCTGGGCCTAAATTGAACTTATAGATGTGTCAAGTGTCCTTCCAACAAAGGTCTTTGATATAAAATGAAGAGTTTGAGTAACATTACATTTAACACTAATTTTAGCTGCGATAGAACCGCTGAGCAGCAGCAGTCGAGTGTTCGAGACAGGCTCCTCTACTATACACTCGTATGCAAAAGGAAAGAGCAGTGAGAAGGGAGAATGACCCAATTCACTTCCTCCTCATCCCTTTAATAGTCTAGTAATACACCAAAGCCTCCAATGTCAAAATGGTGCAATTGTCGAAGCGAAAATTTCTATAAAATTCACTAACAACTAGAACTACAAGTATGGTCACATTCTAGAATATATAATAAGCTTATAAACAAGGCTTTGAAATTATTGAGCACAGATAAACTTTCCCAAAAATAAGCAAACAACCTAGGCTACTCAGCATATACAAAATGTTAAATTTTTCAAAACCAATAAAACCCTTTTCATCAATTCTCAATTCTGAAGAAACCCATTGGCCAATTTCACTTTCTTCATATTTTAAACCAGAAATTTTCATATGACAAATTAATATTATAAAAAATATATATAAATATACATACATCAAATAGAAGGCAGGCAAACTAGATAAATCTGGGTTTAAGAGAGAGAAAGAGGCTTACTGAGCCAATTGCTCTGCAAGAAACCATGGAAGATAGCTTGAAATTTTGAGTTTGCATTGATTGATTACACTTGTTAAAGAAATGCCTAATTCCCCGAAAACCCAATTGAGGAAAAGGGGAAGACATCAGGGTTCCGGCATTTATTGCAGATGAGGGGATAAAGATATTGAGCAGGTTGTGCGCCATGAGTGCAAACTTGACGTAGCTTCTAACTGTGTATTTGCCCCCATTCAATATGAAACAAGATGACCCATATATTATTAGCATTATCTTTAACTTTATTTTATTTTATTTTTTTGGCAAGGAGTGTAGGGACTAGGGGTTAAAGAGCCAAGCCTGCTCGTGAGCTGCTCGGTGCTCGGCTGTCGCCTCAGTTAAAGCTCGGATCGAGCGGGCTCGACTCGATTTCGAGTTTGGCTCGATATCTTAACCAATTCTCACATTAGGTCTTTTTCTAATTTAGACATTTACAAAGCCCTAAGCTTTCTATGCATTTTGTTTGCATCATAACTTCTATTATGCACATCTTATTTGTTGGGTTTCGTAGTGCCCGACACTACGCGGAATGAAACCCTCCTAAAATCCGCACACAAATTAAAGTAACTAAACATACATTATTAATTAACAATCACATAATTAATTAACTAAGAGAGAGAAAGACGATCATACCCTTGACGCGTGCTTCGCTTCTTTTAGAGCTCGGACTTGAAAGTGTTAGCTCTGCAAATGCGTAAGCCTCCAACGGCTGTAATACCCCGTAATTTTTTACGTATTTTTAATTTAAATAAGTATTTCTTAAAATATTTAAATAATTCGAAATGAATTATTTAGGGTTTTTCATTAATTTAAAAAGAATGATTTTTATTAAAAGTGTATTTTTAATTATTTAATAATCTTGAAAATATTTTATTTCATGATTTAAAAATATTGGGGCATATTATTTTAAAAAAAGATAATTTTTAATAGTCAAAGTTTTAAAGAAAGTCAAAATCCTAGTTTGAGTAGGAAAGGGATTATGGGTAGTAAGTAGGAGTTTATGAGAGAGGGTATAAATACCCATCATATGCCTAAGGTGGAGTGCACCCAAACGTAAATTCTCTCTCTCCTCTTATTTTCTTTTCTCCTTAATTTTTCCCTTCCCCTTTATTTTTAATTTTAACGTTTTAATTATGTTTAGATTCTAACTCGTCCGATTTTTACAAAAAAAAATAGTGTTTCTCGTGTGTAAACAACGTTTTAATCAAAAAACACTACCTTTGGTAGTGAGCACCACCCTCTCGTGGCCAAATTCAGCCTCTAAATATGGTTTTCGGGCAGTTTTTTATTTTTAACGAAGGTTTAATGTTCTAATATAATTTTCAGATTTAGTTTTTAATCAAAAAGCCCCAAATTGAAAACCCTAGGTTTCTAAATTAATGAATATTGATGGAATTGGATTGTGGGTAATTTAAACTATTGAAATTAATGTTTTTAAACATAATTACATCAATTTTTGATGGTTTAATAAAGCTGGAATTTTTGTATAAAGGTTATATTTAGGGTTCTTGAAAGGATTTTTAATCACCCATTAATTGGGAATAAAAGTAAGGGTTTTAAATAAAATTTCAGATTTATTTTAGAGGGTTTATGAGTGATTTAAAGATAGTATATATTGCAGGAAATTTGTGTGAAAGAGGTATTAATACTTCTTTATAATTTTGGTATTGTAGGAGAATTTAAGTTGAGTAATTTCTAGCATTGTGGCTAGTTGGAAAGATGATTTAAGGTGCGTTCGCGTACTTGGTATTTGTTTGAATGTGTAGAAGCATGCTAGGTTTTGTTTAATTAATTCCAAGTAGTATCATGATAGGTGTTGATTGGAATTTGTGATTGGATTGATGTTGGTGAATGATTTGTGATGTATGAATTATTTATGGTGAATTGGTGATTGGAATTAATTATATTGGCATGTTGAATATGAACCACACTTTTATTATTGGCATGATTGAGGGCCTGTTTAATTAAACTAAATGTTTAATTGGTTTGGAATATGAATAGGGAATTTTATTATTGTTCATATAATTTTTATTGATGCTATAAGCATGAGGAAGGAGCTATCTAAGTGTCTTAGTACACAGGAATAAATTATATTGCGGTGCTTACGTGTACTTAAGGTGTTTCTAACACCGAGGGATAGGATTTGCGACACATTATGCGTTTAAGGTGTCTTTGACACCGAGGTAGATTAAAAAGGGTTCAACTATTAAATTTATGTGGTCACTAATTATTCAAGAATTAAATTGATATGTTTGATTGCTTGAATGAATTATAATGTTTGATTGTGTTATGGTTTGAGAGTCATCACCAAGTATAATAATATGTAAAGCAACGTAAAGTGAAAGAGTTTACGCACCAAAACTCTTGGAACGTATATACCTTGAGTATGAACATATGGGGGGAGTTATGCGACTTTATATTTGACCATAACTTCTACTGGGAGTACATGACGCTGTATTTTCCTTTTTATTTATTTTATGCGCGGAACGTACAGTCACTTCATGTGACATTTGCATACCCGGTTAGCTCCCGGTGTAGTTTACCTCAATTTATTTGAGGTAGGGATTTGGTTGGAAACCCGTTCGATGTGTAATCAAAATTAAATGAACATCGGTATTAGTCTAGTTAGGTTTTGAATGTTTTGTATGCTTGTCAACAGGTGCTACACGGTAAGTTGTGTGCTGATAGGATGAAAGCATGTTAGTGTGTTTTATTACGCTTATGTACTCAGCATTGCTGATTGTGTGTTTGCATGTTTGTTTGGCCTTGTCTTTACCTTGGTCCTACGACGACCCATTTCTAATGGCGAGTAGTGGGGACAAGTAGAGAGAAGCTTTCAGGTGGTGAAGCATATCAAGCATGATGGGTTTGAGCGAAGAGGGTTACATGTTTCTTTGTTTGTTATATATTGTATTGAATTATTTATGTAATTGTTGACACTAACATTAGTTAATGTTTATATTTACTTTGGTTTTAAAGGGCCTTTAATGGTTCCAAGTTATTGTTTTAGTGTAAGTTGGTTTTAAAATTTGAGTTGATTTTATTAAACTTTATTTCATTTGAGTTTTTAAAAGATAGTCTTCCGCTGTGTGTCTTTGATATTTGCCTTAGCCGTTTTCACGGTGACGGTAATGTCTTAGATTTTCCTATTTCGTATTTTAAAAAGGGAAAAATAGGTATTTTAAAGGAAAGGAATTTCTAGGGTGTTACAACGGCTCTCACCCTCGAGACCCGACCTGGACGGTCCCTACCCCAAAACTTAGTTGGGGCTAGACTAAAAAAACTTAGAGTATTAGAATTAAGGTTTTCTCTTCTTGGAGATCCCTTAAAATTCACAACTCAAGTGTCCCTTCCCAATCCCAAATGATTAGTATTTATAGGGAAGGGAGCCTTGAATTCCAATCTCCCATCAATGTGGGAGAGTTGGTAAAATTCACTTTATTCAATTTATTTTTAATTCAAAAATCAAATTGTAATACAAGTGAATCAACAAACGCCAAGTGTCAAGAGGTGAGCAATGGGGTTAGGTGAGGACCACAAGGGGGGACCAACAACCCCTTGCTCCCCAAGAAACCCACTAAAAACTGGGCTCCCACACGCCTCTAACCAGTACGCACCAGCTGGCGCCCGAGCTTGAGCACCAAGGCACGCCCAACTGGCGGCCTGGTACTTTAACTAGGCCTGCCAGCTCGGCAGCGAGTGCGAGAAGCCCAGCACGCATGCCGCGTTTGATAGCGAGCTGCTGCTGGGTACATCTCTCGCTAGTGATGCTTAGCGTGCTATGCTAGCACCTGGTGTGTTTCTTGGGAAGGGTGATGCTCGCCGTTGTGCGCCAGTTGCCTGATGCCTTTGGCAAGGCCTCTGCTAGCCCAGCCATGCGTGCTAGAGCTAGCGTGAAGCTTGCTCGGCCAGCGAGCCTAGCACGCACATGCATGCTTGGCTTGCGGCATAACCATGCGATGTGGTTGGTGCCCCATGCTAGCCTAGGAATCGCATGGCTAGGCCAATGCGAGGCTATGACTTAGCTTGAACTTGTCATTCGCTTGATTTCTCGTCTCGTCGAATTCTAAATTAGACTCGACTTACGACGCTCGGTTTCGATGCTCTAAGCTCGATACCCAATGTCTTTGTTCATAATACTCTAATGACTCATGTAATCCTTCAGATTAATTCGCCGCCTCGGATCGGTTACTCGATTAGGGTGTGACCTGAAGGGTTCAGTCAAGATTAAACTGCAATATTAATTATTCATTAATATTACTGATCGGAAGCGGCCTCCAGCTAGGCATTCCGATCACTTGACCTCACTGAATAATTAGCTTTCTAATAATTTCAAACCCTCTATCGGAATAATACACTTGTTCAAAGGACACCATTCCTTTCAATCTCCCACTTGTCCTTCCGGACAAGTATGCAGTTAGTGTATAGCCCATTTCCTATGTCACTTAATGTCTCTTCATGAACTATTAGGTAAGATTCTTCGTCATCCTTATTACGTCCAGAAGTGTTTCTCGATTTCCGAGTTTGACTGTCAATAAGCAGATGATTTCTAAAATCCATCTCAGCACGACCATTAATTTTCACAGTCTCGCTTTCGAGAGGCCTTGTAAACAACAAAGACATCTTCCCTATAGTTAATAGGGGGACATTCCCAGTCTTGTATTGTTAGCTTCCCTTACTAAGAGGACCTAGCCGCTCGAGTGTTGCCGTTATAATTCCCTTTTACGGCAGACGTTTGACAACATCAACACAGATCAGTACTCAAACAAGAGAACTTACAATACTCATGGTAGAGGAAAGGTTCCGATAACTATAATGAGAAAAAAACTTATGACTATTTTAAATCTCTTACAGTATTCTCATAGGTCAATCCAGTATAGTTCCAAACCAATACTTGTGCAAATGATTTATGGCAATCATGTCCTTGTAGCACAAGAAACGGTGCTATAAACCATACTACACATTAATCTCAAGTGGTCATTAATCGTCCATGATTTAAATGACCTTGATTAAGGATGATTTTCGATTAAAATATTCAATGTTCACTTAACAGGTGTTTCTTTATCCAAGACATTGTCTTGATACCCTGTTTTGAATATTCTCAGAAATCGAATGGACACATTATATAATTCTAAACCACAATTAAATAGAAATAGAGTGATAATAATTTTTCAAAAAATTGAATTACTCCAAAAAACGAATGGTTCAACATATTGTTTTACGTTAAAGTCCTCAAATTTA